AGACATATATAACTAACCTAGCAAAAGAAGATAACTAACCTAGCAATAGAAGATAACATACAACTATCATTGCAACTTCATAAAACTAACCTAGCAACAACAGACTACTAACCTAGCACCAACAGACAGCTAGCCTAGCAACAACATACAACTAACATTGCAACATGATAAAACTAACATTGCAACATGATAAAACTAACCTTGCAGAGATATATAACTAACCTTGCAGATATATACAACTAAGTTGCAGAGATATACAACTATCATTGCAACATGATAAAACTAACCTTGCAGAGGTATACACCTAAACTTGCAGACATATATAACTAACCTAGCAATAGAAGATAACTAACCTAGCAATAGAAGATAACATACAACTATCATTGCAACTTCATAAGACTAACCTAGCACCAACAGACAGCTAGCCTAGCAACAACATACAACTAACATTGCAACATGATAAAACTAACATTGCAACATGATAAAACTAACCTTCCAGAGATATATAACTAACATTGCAACATGATAAAACTCACCTTGCAGAGATAGATAACTAACCTTACAGATATATACAACTAATATTGCAACATGATAAAACTAACCTTGCAGAGATATATAACTAACCTTGCAGATATATACAACTATCATTGCAGAGATATGTAACTAACCTAGCAATGAAAGACAACTATCCTATCAGTTACAGATAACTAACCTAGCACTAACAAACAACTAAACTAGCACCAACAGACAGCTAACATTGCAACATGATAAAACTAACCTTGCAGAAATATATAACTAACCTAGCAGCATCAGAAAAATAACAAAACAACGCAGACAACTAACCTACCAACGATAGACAACAAACCTACCAACGATAGACAACTAACCTTGCAACTAAACAACACTAACCTTGCAACTAAACAACAATAACTTTGCAACTCAGACACACAACCAATAAAAACCTGAAAATACAGATGATACACTTTATACATGGATTGAATTAAAAAAAAAAAAAA